AAGCACCCACAATTTCTGAAGGCAAGCTGTTCCATTAATTAATTGTCCTCACTGTTAGGAAGTTTCTCCTTAATTCCAGGTTGCTTCTCTCTTTGATCAGTTTCCAACCATTGTTTCTTGTCCTGCCCTCTGGTGCTTTGGAGTATAATTTGACCCCCTCTTCTTTGTGGCAACCCCTCAAATACTGGAATACCGCTATCACGTTTCCCCTATGTCTTCTTTTCTTTAGACTAGCCAAACCCAAGTCTTGCCGCGGTTCTTCATATGTTTTAGTCCCCAGACCTCTGATATTCTTAAAGGACTCTAAATTTAGACTCTAAATTTAGATTTTTCTTAAAGAGATAGCACACTTAAAATATAAATGTAAAAGTTTATTTCATTTATTTTTTCTGGCTTTTAATTTAAAAAAAGAAGTTGTACTACTGTTCTTTTGAGGGTAAACTATGATATTTTGCTTTTGCTAAACTAAAAAGACTCCTAGAATACAAAGCAGTAAGAGGAGTATTATCCAAACTAAAAGAATAATGGCATTGAGGGATTCAACATGCAGTCCACCAACTCAGGAACACCTGCCCCACTTTAAGCATTGTCTAGACTAGGCAAATACATCATTTTGATTCCTAAGCCACTATCCTCAGTTGAAAAGGACTAAGGTTAAAGAATGGTTGGAAGAAATACTAGAGCAAGTGGTAGAGTTAAAACCAGAATTTTTCCTATTAGGTATAACAACGCAGAAGTATGACAAAGGCATACTCTATTTGATGCTACACATTCTAACGGCTTCCAGATTGGTTTATGCTCAAAATTGGAGGAATAAGGGAATTCTAACGGAAGAAGAAATCCTGTATAAAATTTTATCATGTGCAGAGATGGACAGGCTTACAATGGCTATGAAAGATAAGACAGAACTGGAATATTTCGAAATCTGGGACAAATTTTATCGCTGGTATGAATCAAGGAGAACCGCTCGGATCTTAAGCTAACGATAGGATTGAAACATACATATAATTGTACATATAATTGTATATATAACTGTATTGTGTAGAAGAATGAGGTTTATATAGAGGTTAAGGATGATGTATTAAGTTTTTGTATCACGAGAAACAAATTGTTAAGAATATTTGCTCTGGAATGCCATGTATGTCCATTTTTGTTTTAATTGTATTATAAATAAAAAGAAAAGAAAAGAAAAGTATTACTGGCTTCTGTTTAGGCATTGTGGTGTGACAGATGCAGGAAGACAGGGCTCTGTCTTCCGTGTTCGATTTCACCCTGCTGGGGACCCTAAAAAGAGTTGAAAGTCACCCCGGAGAGGCGACGAAGGAGGGGACCCTCCATTTGATCTGAGGAAGCCCTCCAAACTGGCAGGGGAATGACTGGATACACTTCTGTGGCCAGTTAGAAGCTGCTGACAACCGAAGAAAATAAGCACTAATGAGCAACTCTTGAGCAATGTGGATGGAACTGGGTGAGACTATATCCTCTCTTTATGATTTTAAGACTTTTTCCTGGAAAAAAAAATCCCAAACCAAAGAACCTCCCCCCCAATTAGAGAGGGAAGGGGAATTTCCACCCCATTCCCTCAGGAAAAGATTGCTTGGGAGAAAACAGAGAAAATTACAAGATTAATTAATTAATTAATTAATTAATTAATTAAGATATGTAGCTTTGAAACTTGGGGACTAAAAGTATTTTTGAGACTTTTTTAGAAAAGAGACTTGAAAAATTTGTAATATACGTTTGGATTTAAAAAGCTGGAAGACAGCATTAATGACATGTAGTGGAGAACTATGGCACTACAATTTATTATTAAAGGAACTTGGCTTGAAGCCCAGACTCAAATAAGACTTTGGTTGTCCTTGTAAACTTTCAGTTTTGAAGCTGGTAAAAGGGAAAAAACCTCTTGGGCTGCTTATCTGTATTGGGGACCCTATTGGACTATAAAGTCTACATACAAAAACAAAATGAGTGTTACATATTTAACCTTAAATGGTAAAAAAAAATCATCTTTAACACCTGTCTCCAAAGCTCCCAGCTTGATATACCAACAAGAAAATGTCAATCAATCTCAGAAAGAAATTCTTTCTATGTTGAAATCAATCCAACAGACAATTGTTTTATTTGATGATGAGACTAAAAATAATGCAAATGAGATAAAAGAACAATTTTCTAATCTAAACTTACAAATTCAGAGTATGACTACAAAGAAGGAATTAGTAACCCAGAAAACAGAAGGAAAATTAGAAGAAACGGATCCAAAGATGGAGGACCTAAAGGAAGAAATTAACAGACAGATACAGACAAAAGAAAAATTAGAAGATGAAGTGGTAACACTGGAAATGAAAAAGATATCTTACTTGTTAAGCTCTCAGAACACATTTGAGGAAAAGGAAGAAGAGCTTATCGAATGGATGATAAAGCTGCTAGGAGAAATGCTGAATATTGACAAACAAGAAATGAAAAGAAAAACTGAAGGAGAAAGATGGAAGCTGTTTAATGAATATAAATGGGTTGAGCATTCTTCCAAAAATACTTCAATCAAATTCTCTTCCTCATTCCAAACAATATATACAAAAACAGAGGAAGAATTACTTAATGATTCAAATATACTGAGTTGGAAAGTTATTTGGCAAAGGAAGAAAGCTAGAGTAAGACTGAAAAAAATAGAGGTTTTATCCTATTAGATGGTATACTATACTATTAAACAGATGTTTGAATATGGTTAAGAAAATAGATAATTGTTAGAAATGAAAGTATTATAATAATTAGAAGGATAGGATTTATAATTAGAATACTATATTTTGTTATGAGATGAGAAATATGAAAATTCTAAAAGGATTTGAATAAGGGAAGCCTTTGGTTACCCAAATATAATTTATTATGAGAAAATTATAAGCGATAGAGATACTTTGAACATTGAGGGGAAATTAATATTTTTAAAAAGTAGGAAAATCAGGATATTGATTGAACAAATGGATTCTAAGTGCAAATGCAATTGAGATATGTTTTGGCTAGAAAAGATATTATAAATTGATGCTATCGATATTATGTACAATACCAGAAAAATGTGATGAATATGTCTGTATTTAATTGTATATGTATTAACAGTAACAAGAATTATATTTGCCCAGTGTGGAAAAATGCATACCACTGAAAGAAGAGAGGATCAAGGAAGCACTGGATGGTGTAGTATTGGAACTAGACTAAGAAAGTTAATATGTACCACTGAATTACTAATGGTCCCAGACAACACATTGTTTATTAAGTATTTATGATTGTAAAATTAGAAAATTAATAAAATATTTCTTTAAAAAAAGAAAAGTACTACAACTGAAAAAAATGCATCAGATGCATAGAATATAGTTCAATGTATACTGATATTTATTGTATTACTTTTCATTTAGTAATTGGTTATGGGAATGAGTAATGAAAGAAACTGAAGGAAAATAATCAAGCTATATGGACTGGATTTCTCTGCTGAACTCATAATGTGTATTTCCTTTTACAAAAAAAAGGAATTACATGTACTGCCATTTAGCACTTTATCAGAAAAAATATATATTTTCCATCAATGTAGGCCTCAAGATGGCACTGATACATACAGTTCCTTCTTATGCCTATCAAACTTCAGTGACTATAATTCTTACAAAAGTCTTCTATATGGCCAAATAACATTAGATGATATTGAACTGAAATGACATTATTTGGCCATGGGTCATTAGAGACCATAGTCTTTATTACTGATAGAGATTCTGAAAGCGTTATAATTAGTGGGGTTAATGCATTTGTTTGGTCTTTGGGGGGGCATGTTGTACTGTTTACTGTTCTAGCAGTTTTGGTCTATAGGCAACCAGGTTTTGGTCTTTAGTCAAGAAGTCTGTCTGTTTATGTCAGTTTTAATTGTTTTAATTGTTTGGGGGGGATTTTGTTAGTCAGCCAATGTCTTCAGGAATGGCCACCATATCAAATCTAATCTAATTAAATTAAATGTGTTATTACTAAATCTCTTATGATAAAGAAACCAACAGCAATATATTGCCATTTTAACAAAATTTAAAAGCCTTGTCAAAAATTAAATGTGATAATCAGACAAGGCACAAAATCAGCAATGAGGAATACTAACCATTTTCAGGGAATTAAATGTCTTTTACACTGCATGTCTAATCCAAGATAACATTAATCACAAAATAAAATATATTGAATTCAGAGCAGCTTCTATAAAAATTATATTGTTTCCAGAATCTGAGAGGTTTATAAAGTTTTCTCTTTCATGATTTTTAGAGGATTCTTAAAATACAGTTTTATTTTGCTGGACCTTCAACCCTAATTAAAATTGTTGGTAATCCATCTTGATGGAGGTAAGGGCTAATTTATTATTACTATTGAGTTTCATAATTTAGTTTTTTCTATTACTACTTTTATAGATTGAATGTGTTTATTTATTTTGTTCATAATGTAACTTGCTCAGAAATTTTAAAGTTGCTTGAGTAAGATGGGCTATAAAAACTGCAAAATAAATACATAGTTATAAAATAGAAAAAAACAATGAAATAGGTTACCATTTGTTGAAACAACATAATCAGAAATAAGAATGTTTTGCTTCATCTTAGACCATCCAGAATAGCTGCTAATTCTACAAACAATATACAAGCAAGCATCTGAATTGACTGATATTCTTACTACTCACTATTTCTTACAGCATTAATCAAATCTTTCTACAACAATAATTAATACAAAACGAATTATGTGTCTCTAAGAAAAATGGGGATTGGTTGGTTGGTAGGGTTCTGCTAATCAGTTTTTAATTACTACCCCCTCTGGAAGTTCAAATGATACCAAATTTTAAATGTAACTGTGTTCTTTGCTAGAAAGTAATTCCTTCCAGTCTAAGGGTATAGCTAAATTTGAATGAATAATCTTTAACAATGTAAGGTACTTATGAAAATATGGGGCAAAACAAACAAATTTATGAACAATTTAAATTATAATCATTTACCAACCTGATTTTCCCATACTTATGATCTTGATTTAAAAAGCTTCTTCTTTAAATCCTCCCTTTTGCTAGAAACTGGCTGTAATTTCCTGATAGTGGATTCTAAGAATCTGCTGCTTCTTTAAATGCTGCCTTTTGTTAGAAACTGGCTGTAATTTCCTGGTAGTGCTCTGAGCAACTTGACAGCATGAAACAACTATGCATAATAAAGTGCAATCATCCATTCACAGTGCTCAATAGTCTAATGATGCCATATAAGGAATAAAGATTTTTTTTCTTCTTCTAAACTTGAAGCTTCCTTGTAATCAAAGATTCTTCATCCTGCGAGTAACACAGCAATGCAAAAAAATACTGAATGATTTCATGTATCAGTGAAAACAAGAGGAAATTGGGGAGAAAGAATATTAAAGCAAAATATGCTAGGGGCATTCAGTGATACATATTTTAGCAAGAACAGGATTCTCCAAACTGAGTTGAGTCTCTTCCTTTGCTAAAATCCTGAAATGTTACTATGTGTGCACTACTGATCTAGGAAGTTGTTGCATATTGCATTTTTAACAATATAAACTTTTATTATGTGCATTTTTGTAATTCCAAGATTTAATAGAGCTTATACAAGCAAAATACTCACAGGGTTTTGTCATGTTTATATCATTGATCCTTGTTGCTGCCTGATAATGTAACCAAGTAAATAGATTTAACGCTAATCTTCACATTTTACCAAACACAGCACCTCTTTATCATCTCTCTTGCAATTCAAGCCAAAATAAATGTAGAGGGCTTGCTTAGCCATGAGAACAGTTCAAACATGAACATAATTTCCTGCCAATTTAAGGATAGTATTAAAAACATTAAAATAGCCGTGAGGAAATGCCCATAGTCAGGTACAAAGTAATAGTCCAAGAACACTTCTAGCTTGTTTAAAATTCAACTGAACTGCAACTCTTTCAACTGTTAGAGTGCTTGTAAATTGCTAAACAAATTGCTAAACAGCATATTGTTTTCTCTCATTTGCAGAGGATTAGCCAAATCTAAGATCTCTGGGAGCTTTACAGTATGGTAATAACATTCTGTGCACCATCTCTGCAGTTCTAAACTATTGATACAGGATCTTGCTTTATGATTTGTCCTTTTTTACATAGCTTTTTTTTCAAATGGTCACTTTTTGGGCAGCAGTATTAACTGCTTCTGCCCTTGTCCAGTTTTTTTTTTCAATTTTTCAATATACTTTTCCTATATATAATTGCTTTGAGTTTATTAAAATCTAAACCTGAGCAGGAGAATGGGTGAGAGAGCCTTTGTACCCTTCAACCATTGAGTAGAATCAGCAACTAGGTGCAAATGACCAGAGGGGAAGAGAGAAGGAAAAAGGAAATGGGAGAAGGAAAAAGAAGGAGAAGGAAGAAGGAGGAGGACCAGGGAAAGATAATACCACCTGCTAAGAGCATGCTACTGGTGAGCAAGCAGGTGAAAAGCAGTGAAACCCAGCAGCATCAGGCAAGCATGGTGGGCACAACAGGCAACAGGACATTTACCAAGAGCAGCAATGAGATGCTGTCAGAATCACCAGCCACAGCTTCACATCTCACTGGCATTCTGACATCAGTGAGGCAAGGGAGGGGAAGAGGGGGAATAAATGGCCAGGTTGCTGTATACTTTTATGATGGGAAATTGGGAGAAGAAAATTGACAGTTGACAAAGAACAGAGCAGCCTGGAATCCAGTTTGAGCTGGCGTCCTGGCATCTTCAAGGTCATTTGCCCTGGGTGTGGAATTTCACCAGCCTAAACACCTCAGAGTTTCTTAGTGGTGCTGGATTTACTATACTCTGGACCATAGGGGAGGGCTAGGGAAACCTGGAGTTTAGTTCTGTATTGCTGCATGGGAATTTCAAATTCTGCTTGACTCTATTGAAACCAGTATTCCTGTCAGAACCCTATTGTTGTGTTTTCGGTTCGCTAGCAATAGACGCAGATGCATGGTGAAAGCAACAAACTCTTTATTACACACTCCTACTGTTGTGTCCTGAGCCTGCAAAAGCAGGCTCGGGACGATGCAAGAGTCCCGGGCATTTGCAAAATCTGCCCGGGACCAGACTGAGCGGCGCCGGCCTTGTGCACATGCGCAAGGTGGGAAAAAACTGCCGGTGATTGGTTGAAATTGCCCGGGGATCAGAGGGTATAAATAGAGGCCTGCGTGGCTCTGCTCGGGTTGTTCGTTGACTGTAGTCAGAGAATAAAGACATGTTGGAAATGCATTGCTTCAAGCACCATTATTCTCCGGACTTAACACTGGCGACGAAGGTGGGATCCAGTCTAGATAGCTAGGGAAGCTTGAAGACTCACCCAAAGAAGTCCGGAAGAGGAACGACGGCGTTGAAGTCAGCGTCTATCCTGCCAGTACAGCATCGCTGGAGGGTGAGTGCACCTGAAGAAAACCCTGTTCCCTGATCATGGCGAAAATTGGGCGGTTAGCTGAATTTGATGTCTCTCACCCGGAGAAGTGGGAATCTTATGCTGCAAGAGTAGAGACTTATTTCTGCATAAATCAGATAAGGGAAGAAGGTCTAAAGGCTGGCACAATGTTGTGCGTTTGTGGGCAAGACGCCTTTGAGATCGCCGAGAATCTAATCGCCCCGGCCTGCGATCTTTGACAAAGTATGAGGCTAAACTTCTTTCAAAACTTTCTTGTGAAGGTCGGATTCGTTAGACAGTAACGAACCTCCGTGTGTAAACTTGACTCCCTAGTCGCTCGACCCCTTAGTCGTTTTCTTAAGATTGCAGCCTTGAGAAGAGCAGCTAAACCGTGTGATTTCAAGGACTTAGAGGAAAGGCTGCGTGATCGTTTTGTGTGCGGACTGAGGAACAGAGACTTATAGCAGAAGCTGTTTGCTAAGGAAGATGTCTCTTTCCAAGATGCTCTGCGAGAGGTTACGGCAGAGGAAGCTACAGGTGGGGCAGTCAAGAATATGCGGCCTAGTCGAAGCGCTCCAGAGACCACCACCATCCATAAGGAGGACGTGTGAGAGGATTCGGAAGAAGATCCTGAAGAAGAGGTGGACAAGCTTTACCAAGCAGCTGGGAGGAGGTCCAAAGATCGTCAGGACAAGGGCCCAGCTGAGCTCCATTGTTTCGGATGCGGTGGTCGCCACAAGCGAGCGGAATGTCGGTTCCGTTCCGCCATCTGCCGAGCGTGCGGAAAGAAAGGCCACATTGCTGCAGTTTGCCTGGGTCAACAGAAGGTACAACCGAAGGAAGAATTGAGTCTGAAAGGTACCAGGGTGCCCAGTCAAAACAGGGTGGGGTTCTGTGCAACACGTAGGAATATTTTAAGAATAGGCACACACAAACCCCTTAAAAAGAAATTATCCCTTAAAGTGAAATTGCAGGGAGTTCCATTGTCGATGGAACTTGACACGGGGTCTGCCCTATCCATAATTTCCCTCAACACATTTCACAAAATCTGCAGCAGCAGTGGCCAGCGAGTTTCACTAAGGCCTTCTAATGTAATCCTTATGGATTTTCAAAATACCCAAGTGTGCATTAAGGGGGAGGTCACCCTTAAGGTACAATATAAGAATTTTGTAGGCCCCCTAGACGTGCTGGTTGTGGGGGGTGAGCGCACAAGTCTCATTGGACTCGATTGGTTTGAGGCTTTGGGGATCCAAGTAACAGGGCTGCACAAGTTGCAAACAGAGACCATTGCAGATGTCTGCAAGGAGTTTGCAGATGTGTTCAGTTCTGAGCTAGGATCCTACAAAGGACCTCCAGTTTCACTTAAGCTAGATTCAGCTGTACAACCCATTAGGGTTAAACCTAGGAGAGTACCATTTGCTCTTAAGGGCAAGATTGATGCTGAACTGACCTCAAATTTGAAAAGTAAACATATATTCATGTTCCCCACCAGTTGGGGAACCCAAAAAATCATATGTTTTCCGGATGCGACCTCTCCTTCAGAAGTTAGGACACGGCGTATCTTGCATTTGTTGGCAAATAGCCAATTGAGCATTGAAGCTCAAAATTTGAAACTGACCTCAAATTCGAAAAGTAAACATATATTCAGGTTCCCCACCAGTTGGGGAACCCAAAAAATCATATGTTTTCCGGATGCGACCTCTCCTTCAGGAGTTACGCCACGGCATATCTTCCATTTGTTGGCAAAGAGCCAATTGAGCATTGAAGCTCAAAATTTGAAACTGACCTCAAATTCGAAAAGTAAACATATATTCAGGTTCCCCACCAGTTGGGGAACCCGAAAAATCATATGTTTTCCGGATGCAACCTCTCCTTCAGGAGTTGGGCCACGGCGTACCTTGCATTTGTTGGCAAATAGCCAATTGAGCATTGAAGCTCAAAATTTGA